ATGTGTAACTTCCAAACCAGGAGAGGGAGATAAAGACAAAAAATAATTTAAAAAGAATATTAATTAATTCAACATAATAAAAAAGGGAGAAAAAAACTTAAAAAAATTGCACATTGAAACACAAAAGAAGAAAATAAAAAATATGTATAAACATAAAAGTAATTACAGTAAATGTAAATAGATTAAGCTCATATATTAAAAGATAGAGGTACTTAGTTGGATTAAAAAATAATATTATATTTGTTTGCCAGGATATGTAAACCATAACACACAGTAATATTGAAAATGATATAATAGCCAAATAGTAACTAAAAGAACATTATTGTAGTTATATTAATACTAGAGGCCCAGTGCTTAAAATTCGTGCATGGGGGTGGGGTGGTTGGGTGGTGGCAGTCACTCAGTCTGGCCTGCATCCTCTGCAATCTGGAACCACTGGCTCCTAACCACTCACCTGCCTGCCTGCCTGATCACTCCTAACCACTCTGCCTGCCTACCTGATCACCCCTAACTGCTCTTTCCTGCTGGACTGATCACATCTGCCTTGGCCCCAACCATCGTGGCTTTGTCCGGAAGATGTCCGGTCCACCTGGTCTAATTACAATAGAATATTACCTTTTTATTAATATAGATTAGTCAGCTCAGATAGCCATTACAAAATATCATAAATTTGTGTGGCTTAAACAGCAACAATGTATTTTTCTCACAGTTCTGGAGGTACGGGTGCCAGCATAGCATCGTCCCATACATATCAGAAAGTGGTGGATCGATTGCCAGTCAGGGCACATGCCCAGATTTCAGATTCAGTAACCCAGTCCAGTGAGTATAGAAAACAACTGAACAACGTTTTTTTCTCTCTCCCTCCTTCTCTCTGAGATAAATGAAAATAAGTGATAAATAATGTTCTCTAAGTATGATTTTAAGAGGAAAGACATTAGTGAACTATGAAGTATAAAACTTGTTATAACACATATATATATAGCATGACCCCCTTTAAAAATTATTGATTTCAGAGGAAGGGAGAAGAGAGAGAGATAGAAACATCAATGATGAGAATCATTGATCTGCTGCCTCCTGCATGTACCCTACTGAGGACCAAGCCCAAAATTTGACCAGGAGTCATATTGTGACCTCCTGGTTAATAGAAGGATGCTCAACCACTGAGCCCTATTTTTATCAATACCAGGCACATGAGGTACATTGGCAAGATCTCACTCCTGGACAAAAGTCTGAAATTGCCCAAACTCCTTTGCAGCTTGTTTCTGTATATGAGTTCATTTCTGCCGACTGGATGTGCTTGCACAATATTTTGACGGCAGAAGTGGGGCAGAGGCATCTTCCCACATTTGGGCTGTTTGCTGCTGGTGATCGTGTTTGCAGAAATGTGGAGGTTTTCTGCAGCGGAATCCAGGCTGTGCCCAGGCAGCTGTGGCAGAGGCAGTGCCCAGTGACCTGTTTTGTGGGAGCTGGGGGTGTTTGTGGGGCAGCAGTTTCCTGATCCCCAGGTCACAGCTGTGCCAGAGTGTCCTAGAATTCAGTCGTGGCAGCTCCTCCCGCTGGGCAGGGAGTCTTTCCTGGGGGCCCAGCCTAATACCCACTCCTCCAGCTGTCCGATGATTTCCCAAGCACCAATTCCCTGTGCTGAATTATTTTCTGCCTAAAACAGCAAAGATCTGAAAGCATTTTGGATCCTCTACTGTCAATGAAAACAATGCTGCACAGGTCAGGTCTGAGAAGTGGGTGAGGTGTTGTGGAAGGCTTCCTTTTTGAGTCTCAGCTCCCTTTTCTGTGGAACCGAGACCAAAGATTATCTGTTCATGGTTACTGAAGACATGGCAGCTGTGTTTCCTGAAGATGGCCACGACATTTCCTAACCCTCCTGTGACCTGCCTACTTTCCACCATGTCCTCTCTCTTGAAGTGGGACTGACCTCTGAATTCCAAGGCCAAGGCCAAGGCCAAGGCCAAAGCCAAAAAGGTGTGGGGCTGCAGCCCTGCCCATCCCATCAGGTTTCCAGCTCCAGCCCCGCCCAGGCTGCTCGGGGCTCTGTCTGGAGTGGGGGCCTTGCCCTCTGGCATGCTTTTCCTCCCGTCTGCGGCCTAGTGCCTTGGTGCACATCGTGGCCCACCTGCTGGTGCTGCTGGGCCCAGTTGCCAGGGTAAGAGCCCATGCCGGGCCTCGCACCTCCTGGCTCCTGTCTGCCACTGTCCCCGGTTCCCCGTGGCTCCTATTCCTGCTGCTGTTCCTACCTGGCCAGATAGAAGGTAAACAAATCCAAACAGAAATGACGGCAGCCATGGAGCTATGTGTGGCCTGCAGGGACTTCTATGGCCACCAAGAAAGCCTCCCCACCCCATCCCCAACTCCAGCACCCTGATCCCGGGTCCTCTTCCGCCAAAGAAGAGTGTTGTCTACTCAGCTGCCTGAGACTGAGACCAAGCAATTCCAAGGTCCCCGCACCCCATATTTCTGCCAGCCAAGGCAGTTGGCCAGCTGGCCCTACCTCATTGGGGTGTTGGGGTATCTGGCCTGGATCAGGCTGGTGCTGGCCACAGTGGGTGTCATAGTCATTAGTTCATTATATTTGTGATGGCATTATGGTCTCTGGCTACATATATAACGTGTGTGTGTGTGTGTGTGTGTGTGTGTGTGTATATATATATTGTATATATATATATATATATATACACACACACACACACATATATATATACACACACACATATATATGATAAGATAGACTAAAGAAAAGTCTTTTGATTTCTTTCTTGATTTCATTGGTAAACCATTCATCATACCTAATAAGAGTAATATGCAAATTAACCATCATTCTGCTACACCCATCAGCCATGCCCACCAGCCAATCAGAGATAGTATGAAAATTAACTCAACCAAGATGGCTACAGAGAGCTGGAGAAAGGCTTGGGTTTTCCTGGCATTAGAGGAAACCAAGCTTCTGCAGTCCTGGCTGGCCTAGGCCTCCACTCTAGGCTACAAAGTTTCAATTATAGAAGGTAAAGAAATCCAAACAGAAATGATGGCAGCCATGGAGCAAGCAGGAGGCTTGGCTCTGCTCCAGGCTACAAAGTTTCAATTGTAGAAGGTAAATACATTTCATATACCACGGACTCTGCTTGGGTTGCTGGCGGGGTGTGGCTGACCTGCAAACCACCACAGGCCCCTCACCCAGGCTGCCATGCCCCAAGGGAACCCCCACCCTGATCCAGGACACCCTTCAGGGCAAACCAGCTGGCCCCCACCCATGCACCAGGACTCTATTTTAAATAATAAAAGAGTAATATACAGATTGACCATCACTCCAACACACAAGATGGCTGCCCCCATGTGATCAAAGATCCTGCCCCCATGTGGACACAGATGGCCACCATAAGATGGCCAGCCAGGGAGGGCAGTTGGGAGGCACCAGGCCTGCAAGGGAGGGCAGTTGGAGGCAATCAACCCTGCAGGGGAGGGCAGTTAGAGGTGACCAGGCAAGCAGAGGAGGGAAGTTGGGGGCAAACAGACTGGCAGGGGAACAGTTAGGCATTAATAAAGCTGGCATGGGAGTGGTTTGGGGGTGATCAGGCTGGTAGGCAGAAGCAGTTAGGGGAAATCAGGCAAGCAGTTGGGAGCCAGCAGTCATGAATTGTGAGAGGATGTCCCACTGCCCATTTAGACCCAATCCTGGTGGATCTAATCAGGGAGTCAAACATCCCTCGAGGGGTCCCAGATTGGAGAGGGTGCAGGCTGGGTGAGGGACACCACCCCTCCACCCCCACCTTGTGCACAAATTTCATACACTGGGCCTCTATTTGTTTAATAACATGCTATTTAGCCTTTATGTGTTTGAATGTTTTGGGGTGTTTTTTACTGTTGTTGATTTCTAACTTCATTCCATTGTGATCTGAGAAGATGCTTGTTATAATTTCACTCTTTTTGAACTTGTAGAGACTTGTTTTGTGTCTTAATATGTGTTCTATCTTTGTGAATGACCCATGTGCATTTGAGAAGAATGTATATTCTGTAGCTTTGAGGTGAAATGTTCTATAAATGCATCTGATTCAGTGTGTCCTTCAGAGTCACTGTTTTCTTGTTAATTTTTTGTATGGAAGGTCTATCCGGTGAAGTCAGTGGGTGTTAAAGTCATCTACAATGGCTGTGTTGTCCATCTCTCCCTTAAAGTCCTCTAGAAATGTTTTTATATATTTAGGTGCTCCTATATTGGGGGGATATATGTTTACCAGGGTTATATCCTTTTGCTGGATTGACCCCTTTAGTATTATGTAGTGACCTTTGTTGTCTCTTGTGATGGCCTTCATTTTAAAGTCTATTTTGTCAGATGTGAGTATTGCTACCCCAGTTTTTTTTTGTTTGCTTGTTTTCTTTTCCATTTCCATGGAAAAACTTTTTACGATCCCTTCACTTTCATCCTGTGTGAGTGCTTTATTCTGAGGGGGGGTCTCTTATAGACAGCATATAGTTGGCTCATGTTTCCATATCCATTCAGCTACCCTATACCTTTTGGTTGGAGCATTAAATTCATTTACTGTACATTTAAGGTTATTATTGACTAGAGGCCCGATGCACAAAATTCATGCAAGAGTAGGCTTCCTTCCTCAGGCTGCTGGCACCGGCTTCCCTCCTGCACCTGGGACCCGGGCTTCCCTCCGGCACCCGGGACCCGGGCTTCCCTCCAGCACCCGGGACCCGGGCTTCTCTTGCAGCCCAGGCTTTGTCTGGAAGGTTGTCTGGTTTAATTAGCATATCATGCTTTTATTATTATGGATAGGAACTTATTTATTGCCATTTAATTCTGTATGCCTAGTTTTCTCTATTTCGTCTTTTTATTACACAGCAGTCCCTTTAGCTTTCCTGTAATGTTGGCTTGGTGATAATGAACTCCTTTAGCCTTTTAATGTCTGGGAAGCTCTTTATTTCATCATCTATTTTGAATGTAGTAATCTTGGTTCTAGATTCTTGTTTTCCATTATCTCGATTACTTCATGATATTCCCTTCTTGCCTGTAGAGTTTCTGATGAGAAATCAGATGACAGCTTTATAGGAGCTCCTTTGTAGGTAACAATTTGCTTTTCTCTTACTGCCTTTAAGATTCTCTCTTTGTCTTTAATTTTTGGCATTTTAATTATGATATGTCTGAGTGTGGGCCTGTTTGTGTTCTTTTTGCTTGGGATTTTGTGTGCCTTCTCAACTTGTATGACTTTTTCCTTCACCAGATTAGGGAAGTTTTCTGCCATTGTTTCTTCAAACATGTTCTCTATTCCTTCCTCCCTTTGTGCCTCTTCTGGCATGCCTGCTATGTGAATACTGTTACATTTCATGTTGTCCCACAGCTCCCTTAAGCTGACCTCCTGTTTTTTAATTGCTTTTTCTTTTTGGTTCTCTGATTGAGTGATTTTTTCAACCTTATTTTCTAATTCAGTAATCTGATCTTCAGCTTCTCCTAACCTGCTGTGTATTCCTTCCATTGTGTCTTTACTTGTTCTGTGTCATTCTTTATTCCTGTTTTCATAGTTACTATATCTTTTCTCATGCTGTTGAGCATCTTTACCATCATTATTCTGAACTCTATATGAGATAAATAGTTTATCTCCATTTCATTTATCTCTTCTTCTAGAAAATTCTCTTGTTCTTTCATTTGGGGGTTGTTTTTTTGTCTCTTCAGTTTGGGTGCCTGTTTGGGTTTGTGACTATGTTTTAGATATATCTGCTATGCTTCTCAATCTCTAATGCAGGGCAGTGTTTTTATCTAATTAGGTCAGGCAAAGACTCAAGGCAAAGCCCCCAGAGTCTGCCTCTGCTTACAGACCGATTGGATGTAGTTTTAAATAGCCCCCAATGCAATCATCCATAAGTGTGATAAGAGTTTTTCCTAACAGGATAGGGTGATTGCTTATGACTGGAGGCTAATTGTTACTTTCAGACTCTTAATGGGCCTCAGCAATTCCACACCATGTGGCAAGGTGTTTTCCAATAGGGTGGGCCAGCTGTCTTCCCCCAAGGCAAAAACATCTAGATAGCAATTTTCTGTGTAAGATGACCTCTGCAGCATGAGGGAATGACTCAGCACAGGAAACCTGGGTGTCTGCCTTCTGAGTTCTAAGCCCAGACTCTCCAATCCTGGCTTCTGCTCACACAGCTCTAGTCCACTCTGCCTCCCTCTGCTGGAGCACAAGGTGCATGGCTCCACAGGGAATTTTGTATGTTGGCTCTTTAAGAGGGTGTCTGCATTTCCAGTTTTCTCACGCTGGCAGATAGCAACCCCACTGCTTTTCACAACCAGATGTTATTTGGGTATCCTTCTCAGTTTGGTGTTCTCTGCTGGGGGTCCCAGCTTGGGGATTAGACCCCAGAGTTCTCAGTAGCAACCCCCGGCAGCTGATATATCTCTCCAGAACTTCAGCTGCTGCCTTTGGGAGCCCAGCCAGGCCTTTTGTGCCGTCGCCCTTCCTACCAGTCTCTATGTGGTCTCTACTTTCCATCCTTGGTTATCAGGGTTCTCTCCAATGAGTCTTCCAATGATTAGTCAGGAAGTTTTTATGTATTTTAGTAATTCCAGTTTGGTCCTGGGAGCATGTCCATGCAGCATCCACTTACTCAGCTGCCATTTTTAATCTTCTTCCTTCCAGATTATTTTAATTAATAGAGCTTTAGACAGACATAAAAATAGAGCAGGTAATAAGTTCTTATATGGCCCCTTCCCTGCTCAGTTTACTGTTATCAGTGTCTTACATTAGCATGGTACATTGTTACTATCAGTGAGCTGATATTGATACATACTTAACATTAAGGCTCACTTTTTGTGTTGTACATTTCTATAACTTTTGAAAAATATACCGTCTTGTATCAACCAACTGGAATAACTTCCTGTTCTTCACTATTAATCCCTCTCTCCTGTCCTTGAAACCCCTGACAGTACTTTTTACTGTCTGCCTAGTTGTGCTTTTTCTAGAATGTTATATAGTTGGATTCATCAAATGTGTGTAACTCTTTCAGGGAGACATTTTTCAAAAAGCATCATACATTAAAGGTTCCTCCATGTTTTCCTGTGGCTTAATGACCTAATTATTTTTACCATTGAATAATATTCCATTGTGTGGCTGTAGCAGAGTCTTTTGATCCCCTCGCTCATTGAGGGCCATTTTGCTTTTCCCCAGCATTAGGCAATCATGAATAAAGCTGCCATAACACTGTTTTGTGTTGGCCTCAGCCCATCAGTAGTGATGCTGTTGACCAGGAATGCCTGGGACTCACTTCTACCCACAGTTTGCCGGGGGCCCAAGGACCTCTCCCAGACCAGGCTGTGCTGTGCCTGCACCAGCCCAGGGCCAGTCACTCCCAGGACATCTATAGACACTCAGCAGATGGATAGCACCCTTGTCCCAGAGCAGCAGAGAGGCCTAGTGTCCTGGCAACCTGACCCTGGGGATGTCGGAGCCAAGGTCACCTTCCAGGGTCTGAGGAGAATTGTGGGCCCTGTACACTTCCTCCCAGGAGCCCTCCTCCAACTGTCCCAGAGCCTCCCAGGGATTTCAGTACCTGTGTTGGTGTTGCAGGTGCTGCTTGACTAGATGATCTCAGGCCTCAGCCTGGGCCTCAGAGGGGATGGAACATTCACACTGACAGGAAACGTCAATCAGGACAAAGAGACAGAGCCGTGTCTGCTGCTGCCTTCCCAGGGTGCCTCCCTCAGTCCAAGGTGGTTCTTTATTGTGTGGGCTTAGCACTAGTCTTAGCTATACAGTATGTTCTAGCTTATTAGGGAAGATTTTGATATTAAGTAATATTTATCTACTACAAGTTGCTTTTAACTGATTTTTTTATTCAAATAAAACACATTTATAGAAAAGCACCTGAAACAGGGCCCTGTGAGCCTTGCTGCCCTGAGATTGCTCACGCGGGTGCTTTTCCACGTGTTTTTGTTCTCTCCCCTCCAGCTGCCAAGCAGCTCCTAGCAGGTGTTCAAGAGGAGGGAGCAGAAGGGCGGCCTGAATAAAGAGACTCTGTGGCTCTGAGTGCTCAAGATGAAAAGGACAAGGCAAGTAAGGATGGTGTAGCCATTGCTTCCTAATTCACTTCTTTTCCTTTTTGACATTTTAATGAAAGGACCAGATTGAGGAGAGCTCTGGGGTGGTCCATGCTCCAATGACTGGCGAGGAAGTCGGGATGGTAAGAGTCAGCGTGGGGCAATGAGGGTGCCCTGTGCACGTCTGCCCTGGGTGACACCAGGGCCACGGAGTGTCCATGGCTGCTGCTGGCTCTCCCTGGGTCCCGTGTTTGGAGGAGGGGCTGTGCATTCCCGAGAGGCCACCCCTTGTGCATAGCTTCCGGTGTGTGACTCTGTGAGGGGGCCCCAGGACCTGGCTACGTCTGGCCGGAGGACCCAGCTCCATGCTGTTGACCCTCTTATGATCAACAGGGAGCCCCCTTGGTTGGAGGTTTGACGCTGGATCCTTATCACTGGGTGTGAGGAGATTGTGAGGGCCCTGACCTCCCTGCTGCGGGCTCCTGGGGAAGACTGAGGGGCAGAGGACAGGGGCTCCTTTCTTTGCAAGCACGGCAGCTCCCCTGGCCCCCCCTCCCCCTTTGTCCTGGGGGTGTTAGTAGTCCCAGCATCAAGGAAAAGGCATTGCAGGCTCCACACCAGTGGGGAGTCACCTGATTGCAGATCGCTGGGTCCTGCAGCCTCTTCAGAGCCCTGTAGAGGGGGCGCCCAGGGCTGGGGCCAGGGCAGGGCGCCAAGTCTCTGCTGAGAGTCTGTAGGCTGGTCACGTACACATCCCACAAAACCCCAGACACTGAAGGAAAGACGGAGCGGTGCTCCTCTCGGAGGTGGCAGGAGGTAGGACTACAGATTTTAATGTTTCTTTTCCAAATTTGTAAATAAACCAGAAAAATGTAACTGTTGGTTTCACTACATTGTAATCGGCAGTGTCTTTTCTAACCGCTTCTCATTGGAATACATTAACATGCAAACATTTGCTTTTAAAGGACCACAGCAGCATGGTTTTAAACTGAAAGGCACAGGCAGGTCTCATGACTGCGCTGTAGCAAGTGTGGGGAGGGACAGGGGCCTCAGCTCTCCTGTGCCCCACAGTCCCCAGGAGGTAGGGTGGGGAGTCTTGGAGCTCCCACCCTGCATCAGCCTCATCGTCAGAGGACTAGTCACTGCAGGCCGCTCCTGTGGCCGCTCATAGGCATTCCTACTCGACAAGCAGCATCTGCACCTCAGAGCAGCAAACAGCTCCAATTCCCTGGGGTCTGACCCGGGGTATCAGGGCCCGTGGCTACTTCTAAGCCCCGAGGGACCTTCCTGCGCCCACTCCAGGGAGCCCCTTAGGTCCGTCTGGGCCTCCAGATTTGCACCTGCCCTTGCTGGGGGGAGGCGGGGTTCTTCCATCACTTTTGGAGGCTGTGCGATGCAGAGGGATGGGGCCCCTGCTGGCAGGAAGTTTAAGTGCGACACGGAGCCAGGAACGGGGAGCTGCCATGCAGAACGGAGGCCAGCCACGTGGTGCTGCTGATCCCAATGTGCATTGGATGCACTTAGGCTGAGAGCTGCTTAGAGCTCATGCTGAAGGAAGTACATTAAGGGGTACTTACCTCCTCCCAGTGTATGTTTAAAACTTTACATGAGACAAACACAGACCCTACCTCAGCCAGGGCAGCCATGGCTGGGCGGTCCCGGGTACTTCTGGGGCTCCTGTCTGCTCCCGCCTGGCCCCCACTCCCCAGTCAACCCCAAAGCCTGGCAGGCTCCCAGCTCTGGCTCCCTCCTCCACCTCTCAGGCTGCCGCCACGCGGACACGGAGCTAATGGGCACAGTCGCTGAGCGGGGCACCCCTGGGTGGCTGAGGGTGCCCTGTCCCAGGAGCCAGGCACTGTACCATCTCCTTCACAGGAGCCCGGGTGCTGCGGGCACCGTGCATGTTCTACTGGGTGCTGGCAGCAGATGTGCTCACATCCATAAGGAGCCATAACTTTACTCTTAGGACATAGATACTTTACAACATAAAAAGGAAACATAAAATACAAGAGCCCTGGACAGTGTGGCTCAGTGAGTAGAATGCGGGCTTGTGGACTGAAGGGACCCAGGTTCCACTCTGGTCAAGGGCATGTACAATAGCTCGGTTGCAGGCTCCTCCTGGCCCAGGGCCCTGGTCAGGGCTCATGCAGGAGGCAACAAATCAATGTGTCTCTCTCACATCCATGTTTCTCTCTTCCACTCTCTCTAAAAGTCAATGAAAAAATGTCCTCCGGTGAGGTTTAAAAACACACACAAAACCAAACAAACCCAACAAGAAATATAAAACGATTTCCACAAGCCACCTCCAGGCCCAAGTGGTTTCCCCTGATTTCTCCCCAATGGCCAGAATCAGTGTGGCCTCCTGCCGGCTCCCAGACACCAGCTCTGAGGACCCTGCCTCTGCTGGGTCAGGAGGCTCCGACACCACCCAGCACAGGGGCCCGGGAAAGGGGATGCCAGGCCAACCCCTGTGTGAATGTTAGAATCCAAGACCAAACATTAGCATCTGAACGCAGGGGCTTAGAGACAGGAGAAAACTGGGGTCAGGGCGGGGCTTTCGAGGCTGATGGGGTGGTGCTGCCTGGGAGGTGAGAAGGGCCAGTGCCATCGGATGTGGAATGAACCTTAGGGACAGAGGCAGGAGGGTCTGGTGGACCACAGGCTGTGGGTAAGGAGGCCCCTCTATGAGCACAGGAGTCTGTCCGTGCCTCTGCAGGGTCTCGGGAGGGACGGGGTTGTGAGCTGGGTTGTATGAGGAAGGAATGAGGGGAGGCACCCCCAGGCCTGGCACCACTGCTGCTCTCAGCCAGGCCTCAGCCTGTGCTCAGCCGGGTGTGCACATCAGTCAGCAGAGGGTGGACAGCCAGCTCCATCCCTGAACCACAGAAGCAGCGCCCACCGCTCCCTCCCCAGGGACCAGCGCTCACTCCCCAGGGCTGGTGGCTGAAGCCCTCTGCCTCCTGAGAGCTGCCTGTGCACAGTGGGCTGGGCAAGGCCTGGCTCTCAGCTGTCTGGGGCCACGCCCACCACTGGCCACACCCTCAGGAGGCGCAGCCCAAGGTGCTGATGTGTGAAAGTGCTGATGTGTGAAGGTGCTGATGTGTGAAGGTGCTGATGTGTGAAGGTGCTGGGGGTGTCCCTGAAGAGATTTCCTTTTAAACAAACCTCATCACTTTTGTTGTGGAATGGAAACATGGGTGGGAGCTGAGTGAGGCGTGTGTCCTTCCCTTGTCTTAGACACCTCCTGTCTCCACCCAGCAACCTTGGGGCAGGAGAACCTGGGGGATGCAAGCAGGGTGGCCTTGGTTCAAGAATCCAGGGCATGATCTAGAGCCCATAGGGGTCCAGGGATCTCTGCCCCTAGGGAACCAACTGCATTCCTGTGTGGATCCACCTGCTGTCAGTTCTGTGCCATGAACCATGGATGTCGGTCACAGCCCCTTCTCTGCGGACCCCACAGGGCTCAGTGGAGACCACAGGAGAAGACCACATTCCTGAGACATCGCAGCCAGAGACTGAAAAGCCCCCTCGGCACCCCCTGCCCTGTCGCCACCCAGGTGTCCTCTCTGGAGGAAGCTGCTTGCTTATTCTTCCAAACACGTAATGTTTGAACACGTCTGAGGCTCTTACGGAGGACTAGTCATGTTTCTTCAGGCTGCATCTGAATTTTTGTATATTTAGCCTCATAATACTAGTAAGGAGGCCCCGTGTCACAGAACAGGGGTCTGAGGACTGAGGGGTAAGTCGCTTTCCCAGGTCACCAGGCACCGGCCCCCATGCTGTCTCTGCGCTGGCTTTCCACATCGTCTCATCCAGAGTCATGTCCCACGCGAGCAGCCTGGTGAGCACACACCACACTGCAGCCTCTCAGGCTCGGCTGGCTCCGGAGGCAGCTGGTGAACAGAGAACACAGCGGGACTGGGAACGAATGAATACTTCCGCATTGTCTCTGCCAGTGACATGTCAATAATTTTTTTCTGTTTTAAATATATTTCCAGGATCGAAGCTCAAGATTACAAAAAGGATACCCATAAGGGATTCAGACACAGGATTCACAAGGAAATCAACTGTGATCAAGGGAATCTACTGACGTCCCAGCCATGGTTCTGTGGTGTGAAAATGGGCATCTGCCCGAACGACAGGGAGAGGCACAGATGCGTCCCCCACGCATCGAAGGGACTTGTGGCAGTAACACCGGAGAGCCGGTCACTGGGCTGCAGTTCGCACAGCAGAGACTGGTTTGCTGAGGCAGAGCCTGGCCGGGAAGGGGCACACTCAGAGCCAGTACTGCCCCTGCCGCTCTCACCAGGCCTCTGTGCAGGCTGCCAGTTCAACAGTCAGCAAGACCCTGGGGCTTGTAGACTTTACCCATAAGCCCCCAAGCACCAACCCTACAGACCCCTTCCCAGGTTAACTGCTCATTGTCTAGATTTGGTCAGTTGGAGACGAAGCTAATTCCTTGAGCAACTGTCATGTGGGCAGTTGGTTTGGAATGTCCTAGGTTCTGAGCCAGTTGGGAGTCAGACTACCGGTCATTCAGGTGGCCACCTGACCTGGGACCTCTCGCTGCAAGTGCTGGGGGCACTTGAAGAAGACATGGACACAGGTTTGGGTCCCCAGGGCATCAGGGGAGGTTCATTTTGAGAAAGGGTGTTATATTTCTGGTCAAAAATGAAAATGTGCACAAGCTCTCTCCCCAGAGCACCTTTGGGGCAGGAGGAGGTGGGAAGCTAGTGAGGAGAGCTCTTAGTGGGTTGTCTGGGGCATGAATTATGTCTCGGGATCTTATGTTCAGGGATCTCTGTCCTCAGGGAACCTCTGAATCCCCTGCCTCAGACCTCTTACTCTTCAGGCCAGTGCCTCTGGGAAAGCCACTTAGCCCTCCATAAAGTACAGATCACAGCACTACCGTGCTCCCCGTGGTACTGATGGAAACATGATGACAGATAACGGATTTCCCCGGGGCTCTCAGACATGTCGATAAGAAGAAGGCTTCGTCCTCTGGTCTCGAGCTTTCGTGCTCCCTCTCCGGAGGCAGCCAGCTGCATTTCCTGCTCACTGCTCCGGCACTGAATGCTTGCACTCTTAAGTAGGTAGCAGTGATGAAGCACCAGTCACTTTTCTTCAGGCTTGGTATTTATGGTGAGCCCGGAGATATCAACAAGCAGGTTTTAGTAACATTTCCACGGCCCAGACAGGGACCTGGGAAACAGGGCTGAGTAACCTTCTAGGAACACATGGCTTTCGAGTGGGATTTCCTCTCAGGCCGCCAGGCACTGTGCTGTGCTGACTTCCTTCCTGTCTCGTTTCAATAGTTATTATCCCTATAGAATCAGTCTGTTGGATATTTTAAGTTCACACCAAACTGCAAGATCCATCTTCCCAAATCCTGCTTTGATTCAGGAGGCTCCTCAGGCGGCTAGTGACAAGGGGATCTGGCAGTAATGTGTCCCTGTTACTGTTGACATTCAGTATTTTACTATTTCAGGTATAAGTCATCGTGGTTAGACATTTATACTACTGACAAAGTGATGCCCCCAATAACCTGGCACTATAGCTAGCTATTGCAATATTATCGACTACATCCCTGTGACTATTCTGTGCCTCAATGTGCTCTTCTCAATCTCTTCACCTTTCCACCCAGCCTTTCACACCCCCTTCCATTTAGCAACCATTAATTTATTTTCTGTATCTATGAAACTATTTTTCTTTTGTTTTATTTTTTAAAAAATTGCACTTATAGGTAAACTTATATGGCATGTGTCTTTTTTTGTCTAATTTATTTAACTTAGCATGACACCCTCCACATCCATTCATGTTGCAAATGTTAAGATTCCATTCCTTTTATAGATAACTAGAGCTCTGCATGAATTCGTGTACCAGTGGGGTCCTTTGGCTTGGCCTGTGGGATCAGTCTGAAACCAGCTCTCTCACCTTCCCTGAGAGGTCCCAGATTGTGAGAGGATGCAGTCTAGGCTGAGGGACCTCACCAGTGCACAATTGGGATTGGGGCGGACAAAGGAGGTTGGTCAGCTGGGGAGGGACTACCGGTTTCCAAATGACCGGTAGTCTGTTTGACTCCCAACTGGCTCAGAACCTAGGACATTCCAAACCAACTGCCCACATGGCAGTTGCTCAAGGAATTAGCTTTGTCTCCAACTGACCAAATCTGGACAATGAGCAGTTAACCTGGGAAAGGGTCTGTAGGGTTGGTGCTTGGGGGCTTATGGGTAAAGTCTACAAGCCCCAGGGTCTTGCTGACTGTTGAACTGGCAGCCTGCACGTCCTGTTGCTCAGTCCTGATAGGCCAGACTCCAGCTGCAAGCTAACCTACCTGTTGGAGTGTCTGCCCCCTGGTGGTCAGTGCACATCATGGTGAGTGATTGAGCATCCTTAGCATATCATTAGCATATTATGCTTTGATAGGTTGAATGGATGGACACTTAGTATATTAGGCTTTTATTATATAGGATAATATTGCATTGTATCAACATACCACATCTTCTTTATCCATTAATCTATCAATAGATACTTAGGTTGCTTCCAGATCTTGGTTATTGTAAATACTCTTGCAGTGAATATATGGGCGCACATGTCTTTTTGACTCAGTATTTTGACTTTGTTTGTGTAAATACCCAAAAGTAGAATCATTGGGTCATAAGACAGTTCTATTTTTAATTTTTTTGAGGAACCTTTATACTATTTTCCACGGTGGCAGTGCCAATTTATAATCTCACCAACTAGAGTTCTTTTATTTTCACATCTTTACCAACATTTGTTTGTTGATTTATTGATGATAGCCATTCTGACAAGTGTAAGGTGATATTTCATTGCAATTTTAATTTGCATCTCTCTGATTTTTAGTGATGTTGGGTATCTTTTCATATGTCCATTGCTCATCTAGAGATCATCTTTGGAGAAATGCCCATTTTTAAACTGAATTGCTTATATTATTTTTGGTGTTAAGTTGTTCACTTCTTTGTATATTTTGAATATTAACCCCTTATTATATAAATTATTGGAAAATATCTTCCCCATTTGGTAAGCTGTCTTTCTGTTTTGTTGATGGTTTCCTTTGCTATGCTAAAGTGTTTTATTTTGATGTAGTCCCATTTGCTTATTTATTTAAAAAAATATATTTTATTGATTTTTTTTTTACAGAGAGGAAGAGAGAGGGATAGAGAGTTAGAAACATCGATGAGAGAGAATCATTGACCAGCTGCCTCTTGCACACCCCCCCTACTGGGATGTGTCCGTAACCAAGGTACATGCCCTTGACTGGAATCAAACCTGGGACCTTTCAATCCACAGGCCGACCCTCTATCCACTGAGCCAAACCAGTCTTGGCTCCATTTGCTTATTTTTTCTTTTGTTTCCTTTACCTGAGATATATATTCAAAAAATATTACTAAGAGCAATATTTTTTTTTGTGGGAGTTTTATTCTTTTGGGTCTTACATTTAAGCTTCTATTTCAGTATTAGTTTATTCTTGTCTATGGTAGAAAAATGTCTTCATTTGTTGACAATTTGTGTCTTTTATTTGAACAATATACAAATCCTTTTTTATTTTAAAGTTTGGTTATTTAATATTTTATTGTTGAATGTTCATTATAAACAGTGGGCAATAGAACTTAGCAGACAGATGATTTGTAAATATTTTCTTCTACTCTCTAGGTTGTATTATACCATTCTTGGTTGTGTTCTTTGAAGCATAGAATATTTTAATTTTAATAAAGTTGTATTTATGTCTCCTCTTGTTTGTGCTTTTAGTATATTTAAGAATTCATAGGAAAATCCAAGATCATGAAGCTTTATCCCCCTTTTCCTTCATAGATTTGTATAATTTAGCTCTTACATTTAAGTCTCGTTTACTTTTTATTTAAAGTCTATTTTCTGATATTAGTATGACACTCCTGTACTCATTTGGTTACTATTTATATGGAATATTTTTTTAGACTTGTTTGTGTGTTTAGATTTCATGTGAGGCTCTTGTAGACAGCAAATAGTTGGATTGTATTTTTTTTTTCTTCTTCTAATTGCTCTTTTGATTGAAAAATTTAATACATTTACATTGAAAGTAATCTTATCTAATAAAAAAATAATATGCAGGTTGACCATCACTCCAACACACAAGATGGCTGCCCCCATGTGGTCAAAGATCCTGCCCCATGTTGACACAAGATGGCCAGCAGGGGAGGGCAGTTGGGAATGATCAGGCCAGCAGAGGAGGGAAGTTGGGGGCAAACACGCTAGCAGGGGAGCAGTTAGACATCAATCAGGCTGGCAGGGGAGCGGTTAGGGGGTTATCAGGCTGGCAGGCAGAAGCAGTTAGGGACAATCAGGAAGGCAGGCAGGTGAACAGTTGGGAGCCAGTAGTCCTGGATTGTGAGAGGGATGTCCAACTGCCCATTTAGGCCCACTAGGATTGGGCCTAAATGGGCAGTTGGACATCCCTCGAGGGGTCCCAGATTGGAGAGAGTGCAGGCTGGACTGAGGGACATTCCCCCTACCCCTGAATTTCATGCACCGGGCCTCAAGTTACTAATGAGAGGGAGTTACTTCTATCATTGTACTCTTCATTTCCTAAATGCCTTATAGCTTTTATGTTTCTCATTTCTTACATTCTTATCTTCTTCTACATTTAGTTAAATTTTTATAGTAAAATATTTAAATTCCATTTTCATTTTTTGTATATATTTTATAGCTATTTTTTGTGGTTACCATAGGATTACCTTTAATACCCTAAAGTTATAACACTCTAACTTGATTTTATATACAAGGTTAACTTCAATAACATCCAAGTTCACCCTATTTCTCAATTTCAAAAGACCTTTTCCAAGACACATTACAATGAAGTTGTCCAAAATCAAGATAAAGTTAAAATTCTAAGAGCAGCCAGAGGAAAAAGATTGTGACTTAAAAAGGAATCCCCATAAGGCTATTAGATTTCTCAGCAGAAAACCTATAGACCGAGAGAGAGAGGAATGACATGTGCAAAGTGCTGAGAGAAAGAATGTGCCAGCCAAAAATACTATATCCAGAAAGTTATCCTTCAGATATGAAGAAGAAATTAATATTTTCTTAGGCAAACAAAAGTTGAGAAAGTTCATTATCACTAGACTTGCCTTCCAAGAAATGCTGAAAGGAGTTTTTCAACCTGAAATAAAAACACACTAATCAGTGACATAACAACATATGAAAGTGTACAATGCACTGGTGAAGGTAAACATACAATCAGACTAAGGAAACTCTAAGTCTTTAAGAGGGCAGTGTGTTCCGACTTTTATAGAAGAGGCATACCTCAGAGAGATTGTGGATTCAGTTCCAGATTACCACAGCAAAGCTACTCCCACAGAGCGGCTCGGTGAATGTTTTGGTTTCCCATTGCATATAAAAATTACGCTTACACTCTAATCTATCAAGTGTGCGATAACATTCTATTTAAAAATAAAATGTAAATGCCTTCATTTAAAAATACTGTATTATTAGAAACACCTATTGTTAAAAAATACTGTATTGTTAAAAATACTGTATTGTTAAAAACACTGTGCTCTAAGCATCAATGAGTTGTAATCTTTTTGCCGGTGGAAGGTCTTGCCTCATGCCGATGGCTGACCAGGCTGGTAGTTGCTGCGGGCTGGGGCAGCTGTGACAATGTCCTAAGCTTAGACGACAATGAAGTTGGCTGCATCAGCTGACTTGCCAAGGCAGCTGGAGCCCCTGTGCAATCCCTGCCTCTGGCGCTGCAGGGCCGCCCGCATGCCCAGGGCTGTGACTGAGGCTGAGACTCAAGACAATTTTATGTCCTTCATTGTCTTTTCAATTATCGTCAGAGCATCTTCACCGGGAGCAGCTTCTTTTCTCGTCCGTAAGAAGCAGCTCGTTCTTATTACAGCTTCATCGTGAGGCTGTGGCAGTCCCATCACATCACGCGGCTAGACTTCTCATCCTAGTTCTCTTGCTCTTTGCACCCCTGGGCAGTGACTTCCTCCACTGAGACCTTGAGAGACTCGGTGTTGTCCATGAGGGTGAGAATGGACACCTTCCACCTGAGCGGGAATGCTCGTGTGTTTCTAGTCATCCATCAGGCTGGCCTGAACTTGTTCTCATGGTTACTAAGTTCTAAACTAGCAAGAGAAAAAGCAAGAACCAACAGACACAACATCAAAAAAAATCTTATTCGTTTTTTTTTACTTTCAATAGTATTTTGTGTTGGTTTCAGGTGTACAGCATACTGGCTGGACGGTCATATGCTTTACAAAATGTTCCCCAACCATCTCCAATACCCACCTGGCATCATGCGTAGTATTTGCAATATTATTATCTATGTTCCCTAGGCTGCATTTTACATCTGTGTGCCTATTTTGTAACTAACAGATTGTACTTCTTAATCCCTTCCCTCCTTTACCCACTCCCCAACTCCCCTCCCGCTGGCAGCCCTCCGCTCCTCTCTGTGTCTCCCAGGCACACCTGTTAAGCCTCTGCGTGCACGAGAGTGCTAGGGTCTCCTTGGTCAAAGTCACAGTGATGGAGGAACAGGCTCCACTTCTTAAGTCAGTAGAGTGCACACATACTGAAATGGGAAAATGTCAGAGGCCTGGTGCACAACATTTGTGCCCTGGGGGGCAGGGGCCCTCAGCTCGGCCTGCACCCTCGCCCAGTCTGGGACCCTTAGCACTGCCTCAGAGGTGGGAGAGGCTCCTGCCACTACTGCTCTGCTCACCAGCAGTAAGCCCGGCTTCTGCCTGATCGGCGCTCCTGCTATGGGAGGCACTAATCATCAGGGGCAGCTCCTGTGTTGAGCATCTGCCCCTGGTGGTCAGTGCACATCATAGTGACTGGTCGTTCCCTAGTTAGGTCAATTTGCATATTAGTCTTTAATTATATATCTTTAGGATTCACTCTCTCCATCAGGATATTCTCTGCTGCCCCAAGAAATATCTGTGGACACCCATTCAGCCCTTATGTATATGGTCAAGCAGGGCGGTTCAAGGGAGTTAAGACCATGATTCAACCCTTGACCAACGGAGAGACAGGAGCCAGTGGATGCGGACTGCCCTCTTCCACCTCTCCAATGAGGCACAGCCTACACTGCTCCTCAGAAGCCCCAGGGCAGGGGTCCTCAAACTTTTTAAAGTGGGGGCCAGATCACGGTCCCTCAGAGAGCTGGAGGGCCGAACTATATGAACTACTAATTCCTTGGCTGCGCTCACTGCCCAAAAAACCTGGCGGGCCGGATCAGACTCCTCTGCGGGCCGCATGTGGCCCGCGGGCCGTAGTTTGAAGATGCCTGCCCCAGGGGCTCCGGCTCCAGCTGTATATGCAGTGACAATTTAATAACATTCATGGGGTGGCGTTTCCTCCTTGTCAAACACCATACTGCCCAAACAAATCACCCCATGCGAGCCACTGTCTCTTCTCTGCTTTTAGGGGAACTCAAGCCAACGCTATGACGCAGGAGGGAAGCGGGAGCTGCAGGAATCAAGGGAGCAACAGAGGCGATGGGGACCTGGGTCAGTGTGACGTCTCCTTTTCTCCTCTCACCCGATCCGAGGGAGCTGGTCAAGTCCTGTGAAGGTAACACACGTGGCAAGCACAGCGGGGACAGTAAGAGGACCTGCATGGTGACAGGCTGCACATTTCACTCAGCTGATACAATGCTGACTCTGATTAGGCTGGGAAATGATTACTCAGTGTTCTTCCCAGAGCAACTGAAAAAGTAACTGCAAATTGACTCAAGACAAGTTGGGCAACCTCAAGAGTCCTTAGGTAGCATCTGTGGGTGAGATGGCGAAAAGATTCTCATGCAAGTGTTTTGTGTGAATGTAACTTTTATTTCTATTGATTAATTGCCTAGGAGTGGGATTGTAGGGTCATCTGTTAAGTATGCTGCCCCCAAACATGAGAAGGCTTCCACTTAGGCGTCACTCAGGGCATCAGAATGCAGGGCACTTTGATCTTAGCGGCTGTCCCCCTCCAGGGTCTTTGGGGACAGGGCAGCTGTGCCAGGACCCTGCTCCCTGGAGCCCCCCTCACAGTGATGGGACCCCTTTCCAGAGGGGCAGGGCCTGCGGGGAAGCCGGCCTTTGAACTGTCATGTGCTCATGGTTCATGCCAACATGGGCCACACTCAGCGGGTCCGGACGCACCTGAGGGTCCTGGCATGAGGGGAAGAGGGGGGTGCACTTTGCTGGCCTGGGTCCCAGGGGGTCCTCTCAGGCGAGGCGCCTCTGTGCCCCTCCACGCTCAGCGGTTCCTCCAGCCCCGCACTGGCTGTTCCACGTGCACCCGGCCACAGGCCGGCCCCACCCTGGCTCTCACTCACGCGGGCAGCTACGGGAGCTCCTGGAAGCTGCGCTGAGAGGCCAGACTCACCCAAATGCCCAGTGTTGGTTACTGGATCTGCCCCACCCGCCCCGCCCCGCCCACCCTAGGTCCTGGCCCCTCCCCTTGTCCGCCAGCCTCACTGGCTGCCTGGCGCCGGCCCCTTCTCGCAGGCCCTCCTGGGTGTCTTCTGAGTTGGCTCCCAGCTGTGTCACAGGGTCTCTGAGACTGGCAGCTCCCGCCCTGCGCTTTGTGCTGGGATCCTGGCCTCTGTCTGCTCCCACCTCAGCCATGTCCAGCCGCTCAGTGTCTGCGTGGCACAGGAACGGTGCCACCCAACGGCATGACCACACCCAGCGCAGTCTAAGACCGCAGGCAGCGGGTGGTCCCAGACCCCACCGTCCTAGAGAGGCAGGCCCGAGGCGGGGCGGGGGGGGGGGGGGGCGCTGGCTCTGAAGAAGCCGGTCAGCCTCAGGCCCTGCGGGTGCAGAGAGACCTCTCTCCCTCTGCCCAGGCCAGGCCTCTTGGGAACCCTCTGCCACCGAGCCCAGAAGACACAGCCACAGGGAAGGCCAGGCCTCCCGGAGCTCCTGCCCGCACAGAAACGCCCTCACCAGCCCAGCAGCCCCATCGTTCCCACCGGGCTGCCCGGGGCCCTCGAAGACAGTGAGCCAGCAGCGCCCAGCCCCTCTGCTTCCGGCTCCTCCTCTTGGAGGAAAAGAAGCATGAGCAATCAGCACCCCCACCCGCACCCAGCACCCCCCACCTGCACCCAGCACCAGCCCACCCGCCTAAGACGCAAGGTTCCTCTGCTGCCACTGGTTCAAGGCAGCGCCAAAGACTTGCGTGCAGAGTGGGACCAGTGTCCAGCGCACCCCCAGCGCCTGCGGGGTGAGCCGGGGCCCTCGGGCTGCAGGGCCCCAGAGGCTCAGGGCTGCCCTGTCTGCGGGGCACCCAAAGCCCCCTCCCCCGCCTCTGCTTCCTCCCTGCACCAGGCAGGGGCAGGGCAACCAGAAGCCACCTGCTGCCTGGCCCACTCCTGCAACCTCACCCCACGTGGGGGC